TCTGATCCGTCAGTGGCTTCAGCTTCTTCTCGAGCGACTTCTTCGCCTCCGCCCTCAGCTTCGCGTCCTTCTTGACGCGCGAGAACCGGATGGCGGCCTTCGCCTTCCTCTTGAGCTCCAGCGTCTCAATCACCGACTGGTACTTCCAGCCCACCTCATGGGACAGGCGGCCCACCGAACAGTACTATAATAATCACCACAAAGACATACAATTAAACACCACTTGATCCCAAACCCAAAAAAATCCATTTCCCACTCATTATAGCCATACCTTTCGGCGCGGATTGAGTCGTACGATACGCAGCGCTGAGGGCACCACCAGTCGCTTCTTGCGGTCATAGGGCGGGGGTATACCCTCCACCACCCGGAGGTTATCCAGCGCTTTGTCACCGCGTTTGGTCTTGTGGGGCAACATCCCGCGTACGGTGCGCCAGAATATCTTACTCGGCGCCCGGTAATGGTAGGGCCCCCTCGAGGGGTTCACATTACACTTCTTACGCAAAAACGACAAATACTTCACTGGAAATGATAAGACAATTGTCATTAGATATGCCATGAATTGGATTATGTTTTGTATTGAATTGATAGTTAGGATGGCGTTCGGGATCAGAGGTATAGTTAGAAAGTTTGATATCATTAAGACATTCAGTTAATGTAGGTTTAAGTAAACATCATTTCCTGGCCATCGAGTGATCAATGGCTGACATATCCGGTCGCGCAGACATTGACCACCAGTTCGTGTCTTAAGCACTAGATGTCTATAAGTGGTCTAAAACTACGCTAATATTCATAGCTATCCATGGATTGCGGTTTTCAAGTGTCTGTACGTCTGGCGAGGATGTCAGCCATTGCTGGAAGTGATCGCGCGATCAATTGGTCTTACATTTGTTGCGGTAAAAACTGCCGGAGATGTTGATTCCCTCGCATCGGACGACAACCACTTTCTGACCTGAAATGTGATCACAAAACAAAACACAAGACATTAGACATCAAAAAATCAATTCAAAGTACAGTATAAGACACTGAGAAAACAGCGGATCAGATGGTAGTGCATGAAGAGGTATATCATTGATTGTTATCAAATAGATTGTGGTTATAATTATCATCATTTGGTGGCACCAAACGCGTGCAGCAATTGTCTGGACATCGATGACTACACACATAGCCATCAATGGCTCACAACAGCGGGACTCAACTCAACGTAAACCTCACTAATAGTGACAATAATAGCGATTATTATCTCAAGAAGTGTCCGACAATTGCGCTCGCATTTGGTGATAATGTCCGGTAATCAGTGGTAAGGCATGTGTGTTAGCCATACATACCCTGGAGTAGAGTCTTGGCCACAGTGGACGCCAATCGGCCCAAGAGGTGTCCGCGTCCGTCGATTATCAACGGCTAGTATACATAGGAAGACAAAGCACTTCGTTAGCCACAGGCAGACGTACAGATCAACTCCGGTGACCATTAGGTCCCGGGTGGTGATCGCGAAGACAAACCTTATTACTAAGTCCTGGCATTTCTGAGTCAATACACGACAGGAAAGGGAACTACACTCTGGTGTGAGTTATTAGGGGGTGGTGTCAGCAGTGCCTAAGGGACAGGCATGTACATGCCGGTGCCCTCTCCCCTCGCGTTATATATTCAGTATTTTCGGTGATAATTGTGTTATAAATAAGTGTTTTGTTAATGAAATGCAATTAAATGTGTGTTTCGTAGGGGTTTAGATCCAGTAGTGATTTAGTGGTTGTGTGATAAGTGCTGTGGAAATGGTTTTTCGCCACCACTATTGCCGCACGTATTGTATGAATGAGCGGTTGATATGTGGAGACAGTCCCTCAGTCTATGTCACGCTTTCCTCTTCCCTTTTCGCTACAAACAGTCATTTGTTTGGTAATTGTTTACCACTTATCCGAAGACTTTTCTGGTGATTATCACGTGTTTTACCACTTGTTAGCACTCATTAACTCATTGTTTGTCGCAACAGATCCCGTGGATTCAGTCGCCGCGCGTGTGAACCCTATCTAAAGGTAAATACTGCGCGAAAAGCCATTCGCGTGCGAGTGATGGACACTACAAGAGCTGATCCCCTAGGCGTGGATGATATCACGTGTCGTACGCGTGCGGACACCACGAGTGTCCACCATATCATTGCTATCATAACACACTTATATCACTCGCCATCACATGTGTCCATCACTCGAGTCGATGATCACTGCATATAACCCACACATTCATCGCTATAGCCATACATACCACACACACGTGTCTAATGTCTCACTATCTGATCCAATAGATCCCGAAGCGATGGACAAAATAAAGTTAGCGAAAGTGACTAAAGTGTTGGGCCGTACGGGCAGTCAGGGCCAGTGTACGCAAGTGAGGGTCGAGTTCCTGGATGACAATCGGTCCATCATTCGCAACGTGAAGGGACCCGTCCGCGAGGGAGACATTCTCACGCTTCTCGAGTCCGAGAGAGAGGCCAGAAGATTGCGGTGAAGACCTGGATGGGATGTCGTTGAGATGGGATATGATATTACCATGGCTTGTATGGCAAGCGTGTCACTAATTGTATTGATTTAATGTTTCAATAAAATGCGATAACTTTTTGTCAATTGATATGAATTGTGTGTTTAATTGTGGTTATGATTAGAGACTTCATGAATATGTGGTGTTTTTTGTGCGCGAATTGTGTATCGATTTCTAATCAAGAATATTCTTACCGTACATTTTGCCACTTATTTAGCGTACATTTACCCTAAAATAACTACCGGTAATAAAAGCAACTATTGACACCGGTACTTGTGTTGTGAATGGCAAACAATACTGTACCTGATACACGTGATCCAGGTAAAGTGTCGAGGTAATTAATATATACAGTATAGTGTTTGTTAACAAAAAACAAAGTAAGATTACAGGGTAAACAGTTTATTTGTACAGTATGTAAGGCGATTCAAATGTATGTTTTATTTGGTGTTATGTTGCCATTGAATGGTTTAGTGGTTGAGCGGCACCGGGAAAGGCCGGAGGGTTGGCTGAGAGGTAGGCCTTGTAGGCGGCGATTGCTTCGCGCAGAGCCGTCACGTCTCTAATGGCGTAATAATTGAGTGGATTAGCGGTCATGAGAGAGAGAGAGAGAGAGAGAGAGAGAGAGTAGAGCACTGACGGTCCGCTGTAGGCGCTGAGTAGGCCGTCCCCCGGCTTCACAATTGTGTCCAACACGTGGGCCGTAAGTATGATAGCGTTATACATATCCGTCTCACTGGTGGGCGGCCTGGAGCCCTCCGAAATAGGTATTTGTCGGCCAGTCATGAACGCGCGCATACAGGCGCCCACACCCGCCAGGGCCTTAAACACGTGATGATCGGGTGTGGGAGTCCCGACAGTTAGGGACCAACTTATGGGATACTACTTACTGGTAGTCGGTTTGCGTGAGACCCTCAATAAAATATAGGCAGGCCTTGAATAGGTCCATACCTTTCCGGTGTGTGGACAGGGATGCTCTCAACACACTGTTCACTGCCGTGGGCTTTCCCTTAGGTGTCGCGCGACGGTCACTCATTTCGCGGCAAAAAGTTTCCTAAACTTTGAATAAGTTTTTTAATTTTTTGAGCTTTTTTTGTGAGCCAATAGTCAAATGGCTTTCAAATGCAGTGTTTGACTCAATTAGCGAACGACGATTAAGTTCGGGCGTGTGAGTAATACGCCCGCCCGCCCACGTACAATACAACCGGCATATGTTCAAAAGTGGGAGGACCTAGAGTCTAGGTCCTAGACCCGATCAAACTTATCCCTGTGAAAGTTTATGGGCCCACATCGGAGTGAATTTAAGATAATCTTAAAATAAAGAGTTAAGCTGGTTTTATGAAATGTGATCAAATAAGTGGGCTAAGATGCAATGTAAGGTCCAGCTCAGATTATGGTTCAATTTGTTTATGAATACCACCATAGCTTCTAACGTAACTTATAATTAATTAATTAATTTTAATGTTAAAAACTGCGAACTCGGATACGTCGGGCATGCCCTGGGCATGTGCCAGTACGCATTGTGGGCGTTGACGCGGGTCGTTCTCTAACTCCCAATACGTTTACATTTCATTTACGCGTTTATTCGCACGTTATTTATGAATGACTCGCAAACACATTGTTTACACCAAAATAGCGGTTCAATTGGTGGTGAAAATCCGGTGATAATCGACCGCAACAGTAGCATCAGTTGTGGCCAATCACCAACACCTCTCACACCCCACTGACAGTCCATTACCATCTGATCCACTGGTGATCTGACCAGTGATGCCATTCTTCTTCGGTCCGGCGCCCATTCGGCGGACACTGCCGTACCTCACGAGCGGTCAACTGGTGTTCAGACGGCGCGTGAAGATAATGGAAGTCAATTACAACATGTATTGGAAGTATTGGCGCAAAGACGGCTCCCATAAGCCGCACCCGTATGACAGTCACGTGGGACTCAGGTCTGGAGGCTATGATAACAGTAATACACGTGCCATAAGTTGATCCGCGCGTTCATATATCGCGTGTCCATCGATGGGATTAGTTGAGTGATAACACACACACCGCGCATCGTTGCATGTTGCGTGTCTAGTGTACCACCACTTGATGGGTCTTATCATAGCATTCATGTCAACACACATGTTGTGTGACATCAAAAACCCATTGACTCACTGATGGACACAAGAAAGTGGATCCGATCCACTGGTGATATCACACACACGCGTTGATACACTCACGTGTATGACTACCGCCACCACATTCCCTGATAACCCATAACTCTTACTCTATGACCCGACACAACAGGGAGTTCTACTTCTGGAGCGTACCGCAGATCCAGTATATGAACCCCGAGGTCCAGATTCTTCGACATCTGGAGCGGTTCCCGAACCCATTCATCAGGTGTTGGCTGGACGACGGCCGGGACGTGCTATTCGACTGCGACTCCAAGAGTCGGCACGAAATACTGGATCAACTGAACCGGACGTTAGGCAAAACCCCTGAGATCTTAGCCATGGAGAGGAGTATCGCTGCGGAGGAGAACCCGGCTATCTTTGGCTACAAGAGGCAGCGGTGGTGTATGTGCGCCATCCCTGGCCAGTGTCCCTGTCCGGGAGTCGTGATGCTGCCCAAGAATATGCGCGGGAAGTACTATAACTTTCTGAAGGAGGACTTGGAGAAGGAGGAGAGGGAGATAGTGGAGGGCGGGGCTGAGCCGGAGTACGAGTGGAAGTGTATGCCGTTCCTGAAGATGCAGAGGAAGTACTGGAAGAAACCCGAGAAGACATGATATGTGTGTCCGAAGATGTGGTCATAATGATAGTGAAGATAGTGTTAGAAATAGTTTTTTTCAATTGTTTTTTGTAATCACTTGTAGTCAGCGAACCAATGGTGAGGCAATTGCTTACATCTTAAGACAATGTATGTCTTAAGCGATGATCACTGAATAAATGGTGTAATGTTTGCAAACTATAAACTTGTATTTATTTATATTAAATGTCAATAGTATTGAAAGTATTGCATAAATCATACATTAAGACTCAAAACCGGATTAAAAACTCGTATTTTCATAGAAAACAGACTTTTTATCAGTCCATCAGTTGATGACTGAGAATGCAGTCAAATATAAGCAAAAAGTTATTCATTTGTTATATAATTGTTTGAATCAATTGAATACCACAAACACTATACAAATGATGTCCACAAAGACATCCGAAATTGACATCAAGTCAAAGGGAGCCGTGAAATGCAATTCACAACTAAAACCCAAACAATTCCCGCAACTTCTCAAAGATATCGATAAATTTAATAAACGGTTGCCTCCGGAGAGGACAGTGTCTGTAAGTGGTGTCAAAAGTGACCATCAATTGGATGTGATGTCCCATTATATGGACAAATAGATCCGCAAATTATTCGTTAGTTTTTGGATAACTGAAAACAATATAAATGATCTGAAAAAAGGAAATAATTGTTGTTTTTTGGTAATAATTAGCTATAAATCTGCAGACAATTAATGTCTTCGACGTCTTAGCCTTCGGTGTCTTGTGTTTGGACTTATGTCTCGACTTCTTGTGGCGCCTCTTCAGCTCATAGCCGCTGTCCAGCTCACCGTCCTCTCTCTCTCTCTCTCTCTCTCTCTCTCTCTCTCTCTCTTTCTTTCTTTCTCTCTCCCAGAAAATTTATTTAAGAAAGTGTTCAGAAATAAAACTAAACTTCAAAAACAATATGATTTAGCGTACATTGTAATCGCCAAAATGGTTATTCAATCGTTTGGATACAATTATTACTTATTACTGACATCATTCATACAATCATAGCCAGTGATGGGATTTGTAGGACTTTTCAGCTAAAATTAGAGGTTTCTACACACAAAAAGATTTTACAATATATACATGTATTCATACATTTAATCTATAAGTCAATAGGGGAATGCAATAATTCAAGCAAATAGATAAATATAATTAAATTTTACAATACCTGATTAAACTTTACAAATAAATATTGTTTAATATGTTCAGGTTAAATTCACTCTTTTGTCAGTTAATATAAATTTAAGGGTTATTGCTGAACTGGCCCCTATTTCGTGGCCCTTAGCCCATTGGCCCACTATTACAGGGAAGCCTATCTAACCTAACCTATCATACTTAACAGGCATTGCAGTGAAGCCAACCCAGTCTTGCAGTGAAACAAACCAACTTCTAGTATAATTAAGTTAAGTTTTGTTAGGTTGGCTTTCCTGTAGTGGTGGGCCAAGGGCCACGAAATAAGGGCCAGTTCAGCAAAACCAAAATTTAAGTGTTCATTGGATTAACTTAATTGTGAACTGGATTAACTTACCTATTTATTGGATTAACTTAATTACGATCTGAATTAACTTAATTCTGGACTAACCTAACTTAATTCTATTAATAAATTAAGTTAATCCAGTGCACAATTAAGTTAATCCAATGTCCAATTAAGTTAATTTAGGGCATAACTATGTTAATTTAGTGCATAATTAAATTAATCCAGTTCATAATTGAGTTAATTTAGTGCACAATTAAGTTAATCCAGTTCATAATTAAGTTAATCCAATGAATAATTAAGTTAATCCATTGAACATTTAAATTTATATTAACTGACAAAAGAGTGAATTTAACCTGAACATATTAAACAATATTTATTTGTAAAGTTTAATCAGGTATTGTAAAATTTAATTATATTTATCTGCTTGAATTATTGCATTCCCCTATTGACTTATAGATTAAATGTATGAATACATGTATGTATTGTAAAATCTTTTTTTTGTGTGTAGAAAATTAATTTTAGCTGAAAAGGCCTACAAATCCCATCACTGATCATAGCATAAATAATGCTTTACTAACAGCTATATATTTATGAGTTAAGTGTGAGATTGTTATTTCTATGATAACGACATTATTCAAAGCAATCTAATGCAACAAATCAAAAACAAATAATTTCAATAATTTGTCTAATAATGTCTAATTAATTATGTCTAATAAATAGGCTTTAAATGATATCAAATTTGTTATAATTTTTGCACCTTTGTGATTTGAAGTCAGTCTACAATTTGAAGTTTGCTAAATTTATCGGGTAAATAAACTAAAATGTAATAGATTTTAATAGGATTTTAGTTTTCATTTTTCATTGCATACTTTTAAGTTTAGCGGAAATTAAAATTTATTTATTCATAAATAATTGTATTTGAAATGCTAATTAAAAAGTGCTTTAAAGTAAAAAATGAAAGCTAATTCATAAATACATTCAAAATCTTGCACTAAATGAGTTAACATTTTACATTGATATACTGTAAAAAGGTATAAAGCATTAGAAAATAGTTTTATTCTCAAATATTAGATAAAGTGCTCGAAAAGTGTATGCAATCAATTTCCACAAAAACTTAAACAAATAATTTTTTAATCCTCGTCTTACTCCTCAAAAAGCGCTTAAATTTATTGATAAAACAGACACAATAGCACCAGTAGAAACAGAAACATTACAGACAATAAAAAATTACAAAAGATAAACTTGACTGATATAGATAGTCGCAAAATTGTGTTATAAATGCCACTGCTCGAGTTAATCAAATTCATTGAGAGTACAATAGACTCAGAGTTCTTGTATCCACACGTCGTGATAGTTATTGGAGTGCCATTTGTCTCGCAAACTGTCATTAGTGGTCACAAAGGGCCTGAAGCCTTTCAACACCAGCAATAGCACCAGTATGTATACATTTTTGTAAAATTATTAGTTATTAGAAATTTCATATAATAGTCCACTTTTAAAATAGTACTTTATTATAATATTATAATATTCTCTCTCTCTCTCTCTCTCTCTTTCACTCTCTTACATATGATTTAAAATTAAATAACTAATAGTTTGTCATTTTAATCAAACATGATTAAGATCCGGCAAAATAATTATTAAATAGTGTTTAGATGGTATTTGTCTAAAATAAAATTTTGGAGCAAAGAATTAATATTAGCCAGCATATTCATCAAGTATATAGTCATATAGGTTAATATAAATGTTTAATGCAAAAAAATAATTTTAGATATTAAAATATTACTCACTTTATAATTTAAAGTAAATTGATTTTTATATATCATTGAGTATTTTATATGTATTAACTCATTATTAGTTAAACTAGATTTTTTGATAATTCATACAAATAAATAAATGTCAAAACGAGATTACATTTGTAATACACTTTTTTGGTGTATTACTAATTAATAAGTCTTTGATTGTTGATTACTATAATGATAAGAAAGTCTTTAAACGCAAAATAAATAACTATTATGTTATTTATTTTGGTTAGACTTTCTTATCATCAAAATCACTATTTATTTTGTTCAATCACTTAACAAACTGTTGATAACTGTTGCGAGTATGCATCCAATGCTTCAATGCATCAAAACTTTTTAGTATTATGAGAAATAAAACTCACCTCTCTCTCTCTCTCACGGACACACACACATACATACATACATCTAACTTCAACTCACACTCTAATAAGTAATAGTTTGAGAAATTAGATTAAAGTTTTGGATGCGAATTATGAGTCATAAAAGGGCTTGTGGATGCTGGTGCTATATAATGCTGTTATAATTATATAGCATCCCATAAGCACTGAAGTCTATTATGATTACAAGCACTAATTGGGTGGGTTTGGGCAGCCCTCATCACTTGCAGTATATTACATACTAATTAATCGATGCAGTGATAACTCCAATATTTGTTACAATTTTCAATACTGTATATTGTGTTGAGTTTGTTTAGTTGTGGTCAGTTAGTAGGGGAAAAGCATAAGATTATGTTTGGATCACCAGAAAATGTATTATTAATACCAGCTGGACTAGTAATATATTAATAAAATATAAAAAGTCAATGCACTAACATTAATGCAACACATCCATTCATTGTATCACACGGCATCCCAAACACACATACCGGTGCTCTGGCGTGAAATGACGCAATGCTTTTATTTAAGTTACTTTTGCATTTGAATTACTTCAACGTATATAAAGGTCTTGCACAATCATTGGCATATAATAAAAGTACTGAAACAACAGCTATACATTGAAAATAATTATACAGTAACAAAAACAATACAGTTATAGTTGTATGCAATGTGTAGCCGTTGTTTTAGTACTTTTTATTATATGCCAATGATTACGTAAGACCTTTATATACGTTGAAGTAATTCATTTATTGATATAAGGGTGGAGTGTTTGTCTTATACCGCAAACATGAATGAGTTGCCAAAGCGTTATCAATGCATAGTATAGTCAATGATTAGAGATATGAATTACAGTTTCATTGCAAGCCATACACTAGTATATAATATACAGTATATGTTATTCATAACGATATTTAATGTGTATTTCATAATTAAATATTAAATTTTACGTTTTATGATAAACAGTGCTAAAGAATCCTCTATTCAACCCAAATAATCAGTCAAAGGGGTACCGAGACATTGTCATCAGTGTATTATTTGTATGTAATTGTATTGAAATAAATTAATTATTTTACAATTTAATATTTCACAATTATTCACAATCCCGTAGTCCACTGCCTTGATACTATGCGCACATACCTCGGAGGAATGCCCAAAGCTGCCGATTCAAGTGCTCAACAGCGCGACCTTGGTCAACGGCCAAAGCCAGTCCATTCAGTCAAAGCTGACCACTACCACCACCAGCCAAGTGATAACTACTCAGCCCACACGGCACTCAACCGCACAATGGGACACAATATCACCTACTAGTCCGCCGACCGCACCTAACTCTCAAAACAACGTAGTCAACAATATTGGGGCCCCGGGAGGCCTTCCCTGTGAAGGGCCACCACACACAAAGGTGGCCACACTTACCCCATCAGTGGGGAGCGAGTGGTCTACGCTATGGATTGCTGTTGTCGCGGGAATAGCGGTGGTGATGATCGTGGTCATTCTGTCTAAGAAGGGCTACACTGTCAACCTGGAGGCGTTCACCGACACCGGGACGGACAGGAGTCACCTGAAGGCGACCGTAGGACATACCGGAGCTCCCGCTCAGTCACCCGTTGTCAACAATAATATTATGCCTTTCGGAACGTTTAACAACTTCCAGGGCAACGGCAACAATGCCTAGTCACCATGGACCAAGCTCAGTTTTTATATTATCAGGCGTCATTGGCAATGTCGCACCCGACCCCCCTTCCCCCCATTATTAGTCGCTAAGTAGTTTGCAAATGAGGCCTTATTTTTGTATTTTTATTAATTATTTCGCTTCTGTATTGCCGTATAAAACAAAAACTATTTTCCACTACTATATGCTACATGATAGCTATTGATTCTAGTTAATTATTACCGCGATCCTTTACCCATTACCGCGATACACGACCTATTACCATGATACTTGCCTTTATTACATTTTTAAAAATATTTGTTTAAATGTTTTAGAAATATATTAATTTTATTTATTTTATAACTCTATTTGTATTGAAATGCAAATAAAATTTGTATTTTTTGAGACAAACTTTTGTTTTACTGAACACTGATGTCGTGCTAATCCACGGGTGATCACAAAGTTCTTTGATTTTGATTCTGTCCTCAGCTTTCATTACAAACAACTTATGGATTAAGTCCGCCAACTCTTAGGACGCCTTATAGTACCGACAAACTGGTCGTCCACTCTCACCACTCCTATACCCTACTATCCATTCACTCATAGATTAGCTTTTATTTCATTCAAACCGCAGTTAAGTCAAGAAGTTTTGGGAGATTTCATAATCACTTGTACCGTAGTTATTGAACCAGAAGTTAGACCATTGCTTACATTTTAAGACAATGCATGTCTTAAGCGATGATCACTGAATAAATGGTGTAATGATTGCAAACTATAAACTCGTATTTATTCGCGTAAAATGTCAATAGTATTGAAAGTATTGCATAACTCGTACCATAATATTATTGATTCAATTATAGGCGTGAAGTATGAAAACAAATTAAAACTGAAAAACCGGATTAAAAACTCGTATTTTCATAGAAAACAGACTTATTTTACAGGATTTAAAAACATTGTGCAAAACCTTATCATCGAAAACATAATCAAATAATTAACTAAAAAAATATACAATAAATTAGATCTTGATTTATACAGTTATATCATATAAACGTTGAATTTATAGCCAATTAATGGGGAAAACGACGACAAAAATCACATAAATTTTATAGCATTTCGAGGAATACTGTGTAATAGACTGACCGGTAGTCTAACCAAACAGTCTGTCCATACAAACAAACCCTTAAACAATCCATTAGTTTTGGATTACATTTCAACAAAAATCGGGAAAACAATCGCTATTTTCCGTAATAATTAGCTATAATAAAACGGGACACCCATTAGGAGTGTGCGCTATTCTGGTCCTCATTGCCGTGCTGTTGAACAAAGTACTCGATCTCCAGTTCCTTCAGGTTCTCCTCCAGCATATGCAGCTCGTCATACTTGTGCGCCTCCCGGGCCTGTCGTATGTAATTGCGTATAATATTGATCTGCTGTAGCATCGGATCCATGCCATCGCCACCACCACCGCCACCGCCGGCACCGACACTATCAACGTCTGCGCGGTTGCGCTGATGGCTCGTGAACTCCGGGTTCCAGCCGTCCTCCGGCGACACGACTACCCCCTCATCGCCTGTGACTCTCGTATTAGTCTCGGAGTAGTTGTGATTAAGACTAATGTTTTGGCGTTTAGGCGACGCCGCGAACCGTTTCTGCTCCTCGAGAGCCAGTTGTCGCTCGTATTGGATCCGCTTCTCGATCTCTAGGCGTCGCTGCTCCTGAAGTCTCTTCAATTCCTCGGCAGTGGGAAGTGTCGGCAAACCGAGCATTGTGTGCCTCAAGAAGTGTGTGACCGACGAGCGGATACTGTTCTGGAGTTGAAGCTGTTTTGGTTGCGGCGGCCGCTCCTCCTGAGTGCCCAACGACGCGATCTTACGGCTGATTATCAATGAGAAAAACAAAGTAACCATTAAGTGATAGATCTTGGGATCAATCGACTCACGCCATACCTCAATATATCGACATTTTCGGCTAATTTTGTTAATTTGAGTTTCAATTCTTGAGCGTCTTTTAGATGATAATTAGTTTCACCCAAACTGTAGGCAAACAAACGGAATCAATGGTTATAATCTCGGATCAAATCTCACATCTTTTGGGAACCATTACCTCAAGGAGTCGCTCATTTGGAAGAACAGTGGCGCCAATCGCTCGACTTCTTTGATCTGTTCCCGCATTCTGTCGTAGAATTGACTCAAAATGGGTCGCAACGTGTTGTCCTCGATCTGCCGGTCCCTCCGGTCTAACAGTGTCTTACAGTCGCCGCAGACTCTGATGTGCGGATCGCCACTCGAGTTGACAATCGACAGCAAACTACTACTACTTCCTCGACGGCTGAGGTTTGTCTTCGGCAGCAACGATAGGCTACTCTCCTCTAAATTCGTGGGACTAATGATTTTGCCTACAGTTTGGGACACAAGACATAGACATTCAGTCAGACATTCAGATCAAAAACCATTATCTTAAGAGTCTTCAGACTATTGGCAGCCAATCAATAGCGTAATCTATACACCATTGATGGCACGGAGACTAACAGTAAACACAACGCCTTAAGAGTCTCAAGACAATCGGTGGTCACAATTATCTGCAAAACCATCGGACGACGACTTACGCGCGTAAACAAAGTCCAAAAACTGGGAACAGTTGTGACACATAATCCCACCGCAGAGTCGGCAATGGTGTCGACGGCGGCTAAGATTGAAACTTTTGGCGCAGTTCGGACACAGCCGGACGTCATCGTCGTTGGCCCACAAGACCACTGTCTTCTCGTGGAGTTTACGCTTCTCCGGCTCTTTGGGCGCATCGGTAATCAGTTTATCTAATCTGATGAGCAGTTTATTGGTTTCCATGACATAGCGCTCAATACGCGAGTCGCGGATCCGTCGGAAGTGGTCGAAGTGATTGCGTGTCTCACCTAAAGGTATAACATGATTATCACTCAATCAGATCCACGTCTTGGGCTATCGATGAGCCAAACCTATAGTCATTTGGCGCCTCCAGTGGTCGACGTATGAGTGGCCGGGGTTTGCGTTGGCCACCGATGACGGCTCCTGTGTCTCATCCGCGGTGTCATTCTTCAGGATCTTCTTCGTCTTGTTGATGAGCCCTTTCAGTTGGGAACCGATCTGTTGTTTGCTGTTATGATTGGCCGACGATATGAACTCATTCTTGTGGTTCGCGTCGAAGTGGTCCTTCAAATCGGTGATCGTCTTGAGATCCTGGAGGCAAACGGGACACAAGAGGCCCTCCTTGACGGCCGCCTCGTCCGGGCGACCGGCGCTCTCGTCGTCGTCGGAGTCACCGAAAGGGTTGGACATCGCGATGGCCAGTGATATGCGGAGGAATGGGTCCACAAATAGCTTACCATCTAATGAATGGGTGTTTCACAGCGATAGTCAATGTAAACACCAATTGAGTGAACCGTACAGTCATTACGTCGGTAGACTTTGGGGTAGTTTTGAGTTAATTTTGAGTTAATTTTGAGTTAATTTTGATTAGTTTTTAGTGAATTAAATGTGTTTTAAGTGTAAAATGGGTTTAAAACTGGTTTTAAGTAACGATTTGTTTGATTGAAAAGTTTATTAATTATTTTTTGGTGTGTTTTGTATTGTGTTTTATAGTGCGGGCGAAAAGCCGCACGTTTTATGTGGTTTTCCGCATTCAATGAGCGTTTGGTTTGCTTTTCAAAAACACATGTCCTTTGAATGAGTACTTCATTATCACCGCCAAACTGATCCGGCAATCAATTATCACACCTATTGGTCGACACGAACACCTCAACAATCAACTCACGAACCCGTTGACACCACACACATCACCACTGATCTGATCCGCGGGTCAATCGGCTCCTAAAACAACCCATACCTCGCGATCTCAAGACATACACCACTGATCATCACTACTGATCCACTGATCACTTCGCGCAACTGAAACACATCAACGAATCCATTGACACCACACACACACACATCACCACCGATCTGACCAGGCAATCAATCGGCTCCTAAACCCACCCGTACCTCGAGCTTAAGACATACGCCACTGACTATCACTACACAACTGATCCCGCGATGGCCGGCGTACTATTCGAGGACATATTCGACGTGAAAGACCTGGACCCGGAGGGCAAGAAGTTCGACAGAGTGTCGCGACTGCACTGCGAGTCCGAGTCATTCAAGATGGACCTGATTCTGGACGTGAACATCCAGGTCTACCCCATCGAGTTGGGCGATAAGTTCCGGCTGGTGATCGCCAGTACCCTCCGCGAGGACGGCTACCCGGATGACGGCGAGTGGACGGGCAATGAGCAGACCTCCTCGCGAGCCGACGCCTTCGAGTACGTGATGTACGGAAAGATATACCGTATCGAAGGCGATGATGGCCTGTCCGACGCCACACGACTAGCCGCTTATGTATCGTTTGGTGGGCTACTGATGCGATTACAGGGCGATCCCAACAATTTGCACGGTTTCGAGACCGATAAACACGTGTATCTGTTGATGAAGAAGTTGGCGTTTTAGTGGTGGGTGTATGTCGGTAGGTGTGGCCGATAGTGGTCTGTAAACTGATGGTCATTATCATTGATACTATGTTTTCATATCTCGATTCAGTCGCTTAATTGTCTCGTAATTATGAGATTTATTATGATTTTTATCGTATTTTGTTTGTAATTAATATATTGAATATACTTTTTTCGTAATGATTACATGTATTCTGTGAATAAAAATATATTAATTTTTTCATTAAATTGTAATTACCGCTACCCTGGTAGTTAATTGTCTGATTTTTATCCAGTTAATTGTTTGACACAAACAATATTCAATTTATTTATACGTCAAATGATAGCCAAATCAAGCGTTTCCGAGTGTGGAAAGCCTTTCGTGAATAGAAATCAAATGAAAAGTTTGAAACAAAAGTTTAAATTAATTAAACTCTTGTTATGTATAAGAAAAGCATAAGTTTTTTGTGTTTTGTTTTTTGTTTGATTTGTTTTTTACGACACGATATACGAAATGAATGCCAAAATAAAGTTGTTTTCTGCGAGCCGTGAGGTTATGCCCTCCGGAAGAGATAGTGGTATGTATTGTGTGTCACAACACCAACTAATTTACACATCATTTTGCGAGTGATGGCTAAGGATTGTACTGTATTTACAGCTCACTTATGGGTTATTTCGAGAGCTTGTCCTACGAGTGGATCCCTCCAGACTTGACTTCAAATATCAAGTTTTGCTTTTCAAGTCCACAAAGTCTGCAGAAGTCGTTGAACTCTTGGTGCGAGAAATCAGTGCTTTTTCTTGGACTTCAGTTTTGTTTTATGCGATCACTAGTAGTATTTTGAGTGAAATATATGATATAAGCTATAGTTTTTGTGATACACCCTCGCGAGTCATGTTTAATTGTGTTTTAAAAGTGTATTTCCGATTATGTCTAGTACAAATCACTTTCCATACCATTGGCGCTCATATTTATGAGGTATTTCCCATTTTTGGCGTAACTTTTATAACTTTTATGTTATGAAAACTTTCGTGAAGTAACTTTTTTCAAGAATCTCATGTTCAATGTTAAATGCACTGAACTAGTGAACTTTTATTTGCATGCAAAAATTTGCCATAAACAGTTAATTTATTAAAGTCTTAAAACTTTTTACCGCTACTGTATCATAACTTATTGTAAAAAAGTAAAATTAACAATACCAGTACTGTAAATTTATGTAGCAAATAATTTTTTAAATAAGTTATACTGTACTCGATTTCTATACTAATTTCCTAATTACTAAAACTTTAATAAAAAGTTTATTACGCTATTAAACGTAAAATAAAACTATAATTTTTAATCAATTCATTGTAAAAACTAAAAAGGTTTGCCACCAATTAATCGCTAACCTATAGGACTAAAACTTTGCTAAAAAGTTTATAAGTTATAAATTAAAACACTATTAAACTTAAAATACAATTAAGTTGCCAAATCAAAAAAGTTACTTGCTAACCTATAGGAAACCTCCACCAACAACTATTTGGTGGAACTGGATGTCTTGGAGTACATCAATGTGAACGGGAGGTTACTGAATGGAAACTGCTGTAGTGGCTACAAGTCCAGTGGTCTGTGCCGCGGCGGTAACGCCACGTGCAGACCCTACTGGAAGGTCTGTATCACTGAACAGCACAACAAGGACTCGAAGAACGCCATTACGATTATACCTAAAGAGCGCCGGGAGGAGGCCGACAAGGCTACCGTTCCCACCACGAAAAAGCCGTCCATGTTTCGCAACTTCATAAACAGGTATGACTTGAAAAAGCAATTTATTTCACATTATGGGCTAAACTCTAGTTTATGGGTACTCCGGAAGAATATTCGGCACCTCTTCGGGCAAATTGCCGGCTGAGGGCAAGAATGCCGGAAGTGTTAAGCCGTTGAACACGTCCGCCAACTCTTGTTCGATAGCCTTCTGGACCACCGATACCATCGCCGACAACACCCTACCGCTGAAGTTGAAAACGATGATCAACTCCAAGAAGTTGTTTAACGCGTCGGTGGATGAGCTCAAGAATAAGCATTTGTTGATTCTGGTGGAGGTGTGGCACAAACAAAAGCCCGACACCAATGATAAGCTGATCACGAGGTACGTCGAGACCAAGAATATCAGTATTGATGGGAATAGTGTGGAGGAAAGCGAGTGGATGTACAGCGGGAAGAGTAGCCAAAAGCGGAACAACTCGACGAATGTCTACTTCACGTTCCGGTGGAGGATATCGCAGACTTTTTCCAACTTTTTGAATACGACCGCCGATGACAAGTGTCCGATGGGTTGGAGGGGAGAGGACTGTGAAGAACCTATTTGTATGGAGTCGTGTCACCCGACCCATGGGTTAGTAGAAAACCTAAGCTAACCTAACCTAACAACCCATACAAACTTAACCTAAACTCATACCCTATGTATTAAGTTACTGCGAACAGCCGGGTAAGTGTCAGTGCAGGTTCGGGTGGACGGGCCTGAACTGCGACTACTGTATGACAATCCCGGGCTGTGCTCATGGATTCTGTACGAAACCATTGGAGTGCAAGTGCGAGGAGGGCTGGACAGGGATGTTCTGCTCCACCCGTAAGTCCTATTCATTCACATAATTATCGTAATATAGGAACTAATGATCAAAAACTTCCCAACAATTCATAGCCAAATGCAAAGACGGCTGCGACCCTAAAAACGGTCCGTAAATACATACCAACCCTTAAAACTACTGATAACTGACTACCTGTCCCTTTACCACATTGTTTAGGCTACTGTTCCGTGCCCGGGGAGTGCAAGTGTCGATTCGGGTAATTATAATCGCATTATCGCTAAACTCTTGGATAAACCAACTGATTATCTCGTATCTCATGTCACGGCACCCATAGCTGGGAAGGGGATAATTGCAGCAAATGCTCGACCCTTCCGGGCTGTCAGCACGGCTCGTGCGTCGAGCCCCTGGACTGCAACTGCTCGGAGGGCTGGGAGGGTATGTTCTGCTCCACCCGTAAGTATAGTCATACCTATCATTATAAGTCACTTAACAAAAAGTTATAAAAACTTTTCACAACTTGTTTTTATATCGCAAACAAAACGTCAATCCGATAGCCATTTGTTCAAACGGTTGCGACAGTACTCACGGCTGGTGTAGGCGTCCCAAGGAGTGCCGGTGCCGACTCGGATACAACGGTAATATCCCATACTATACCTCCATATACTAGATATACGAGCTTACGACTGGCCCTACAGGTGCCAACTGTACGGACTGCGTGCCGTACCCGGGCTGCCAACACGGCGCCTGTACGGACACCCCCTGGGCGTGCGATTGCGAGCCCGGATGGGGAGGCATAACGTGCGCCGAGCGGCTGAACTGGTGCGACAACAACCCGAACCCCTGCCTCAACGCCGGCACCTGTATTAACGTCGAGAAAGCCGAGGGGAACTACATATGCAAGTGTGTCGTGGGCTACTCGGGCCGGCATTGCGAGCAAATGCAGAACTAATCCCTATCCCAACAAAAAGCTACCATTCCTTTGGCGAAAAAAATATAATTTATTTATTTATTTGTGTATAAAAAACAACTATTTTTGCGATTTTTTCTCTAAATTGTTGCGATTTTTCTTTTTGTCGCGTTTCCTAAACACACGTCTCTTGGGGTTAGACTTCACTAACGCCTCGCTGTCCATGGGATCGATAATAGCGCCCATTTTGGTCACCACTGAGGGCGCCGTTAGCTCTTTGAACGCCGTCTCCGGATTCCAGGTGCGGCCCAACGGCTGCCGAATGCTATTCTCGAACTCCTCGACATTCTTGAAAGGGAACGGCAGTTGATTCACGCGATACTTCCCGATCACGGCGTCCCTCGTCTCGGAGATAATCACGTTTCCAATCGTATTGTCCTTTCGGGGCCTTCGCTTCGCTTTCACCGTAAACCTCTTGACCCGGCGTTTCGACACTCGCAGGCCGTTCCCACCCCACTGTCCCCAACCGGGCAGATGGAGGTTCACATCCCGTTCCGACTCATTCTCGATGCGCTCTTTTTTGGCTTTTTTAAAGTCGGAGATCACGTCGTCGTCGGCGAACGCCTCCGACACCAGACGCTTCTGCTCGTCGTCTGAGACACCATCCGATTCATCGACACTCTCGCCATCGGAGTCCATGTCTGTCACCATATCGGGCAATGAGGTCTTCATTCTGTGCGCCTTAACCACAATGAAGTCGTTCGGATCAATCTCGGCCTCCCTTTGCGGCGCCGCCACCTCTTTGACGTCCTCATCAGTCATCACATCCAGCGCTCGCTTCCGAGTCGTCGGGCGACTACTCAACGCTTCCACCTCTTCGGCAGCAGTGGGCGCTGGACCCGCGGTCTCGACGTTGATTGGCTCATCCGCTTCTTCCTCGACCTCCGGTATTATCTCAGCGTTTGGTCGACTCTCTCGACCGCTTCTCATCCATGGATTATAATCTTCGGGCAATTCCCGGAACTCATTGTCTTTATGAGTCGCCACTTCATTATCATCGCCAGAATCGCTGTCATCGCCATCACTGGCATCGACTTCTTGGTCGTCATCACCTTCGAAGCGAACCCTCCTTTGCGTCAATTTGTTGCTAATCTGGAGCTGTTCTGTGAGCGCCTCCCGAGCGCTGTCATCATACTGTGACCTCAGCTTCAGGTGTTTGGCCCACTTTCCCGTGTTTTTATGCTTAAGACTTGCTCTCTCGAGCGCCCGGAGTTTGTCCAACTCCTGGAGCTTCTCGACGGCCGCCATGGGGTCGGACTTCTTGGTCGCCTCGAACTCCTCGACCGACTTCTTAAGCCTCTCCCTCTTGAGGATCCGGTGATACCTCTTACTCTTGATCTTTGATTGGCGTTTGAGTCGCACCTCTTCGTAGCTGAGAAGGGCTCGCATTTTCTGGAGCTCTTTGTGGCGGGCCTTCGCCTCCTCGAGACTCATGGCTTTCATGATCTTCTCCTCGGCCACAGTCAACGGCTACTCAGAAGTAGACAACCAATTGATCCACAAATTACACCATAATTGTCACCAAAAATCATCACTCAATGAGTGGTCATTACCTTATCATCGGTTAAGTTGTTCTCGGATTTGTTCAGCAGTTCCGCCACTTGTAGCTCGAGTTTAGTCTTCGGCCGGAAGTGTTTCACCACTGCTCGCGAGGGCTCCAGACTTAGCGCCTCCTGTTTGAGTGGGAACTGGAGCTGTGGGGCCGTCCGATTGGCGGCCACCACTTGATCCCATTTGCGGAGCTCTTTGGCGGTCACCTCGTAATTGACGGCGCGTTTGATTTTGTCGGACACTATCTTCTCGAGCGGTTCGTCCAGAAGTCGCTTCTTTGACCAGTGCTTCAACTTCTTCACCGATACAGTGGTTTCCCTGACATTCTTCAGCAGATCGTCGATCGACAGCTGATTATCGCCTGAATGTATGGATGGAAACAGTGGTTAGGAATCACTTCTTGGGACCAGAAATATGTTTACTTTTCGAGAGATTATATTCATTGACATCGGATTTAGGCTCAAATCGCGTGGCTTTCCATTTGAGCGCCTTCTGGGTCTTGGGATCAAGTCGTGCGATGTCTGTCAACAGCTGCGAGTGGTTTACGTCGTCATCGGATCCATCGGCGGATGCGTTGTCATCGATGTCCTCACCGGCGGACACAAACTCCTCGTCCTTCTGGGCGTTAATCCGCTTCAAGATCTTCGCCGACATTGTCTCGACTGGTAAACTGTGTCAACGGTTAGACAATGGGTTCAGTCGGTGGTGATAATCGCTGAAGACATGAGTGCACAACAGATGTAAACACAAACTGAAAGCAAAAACACGTTTTTCTCATAGGATTTAAACGCATTGAAAAAGGCATGCATTGCATGACTTCAATGACAAACCACACATTTCTCCATACATTACAAACCCATTGCTTACTATAAAACAGTGCAACCCTTACGGCCAATGGATCGCGCAATGCCTTACTTTACGGTTAGGCGCGACACTCGTAGACAGTGTGCGACACCTGTTGTCAGCGGTAAGCAGTGCTGGCGTCCAATGGGACGTCAGTATTGCAGACAAACACTGGAAACCGTTGCCAACAAAACGTCAAATGCATTGAAAAACTCATTGAAAAAGCATTGAATGACTCAATCATTGAGCGATTGTTTGTCAACAAAAGCGGTTCACAAATGAAGTGATGATTCACTCAACGACTATCACCACAGCGGAAGTGTTACCACACGGTATTGACACATAACTACCACACCGATCAACTGATCCAATGCTCCCGGGAATCGGTATCTTCGGCGGCGGACAACTGGTCCGAGTGTTGGTCTCCTGTCTGCGGGCCAAAGGGTTCAAAGTGGAGGCCATTTGGTCCCACAATCTGGAGTCGGCTCAAGACATGGCCAGGGAGTTGGACATCAAGTTGGCCACCGATGTCATCGATCGCGTACTCCTGGAGCCCGCGGTTCAGCTCATTGTCATCGCCTGTCCGCCGCATCTTCACGAGCAGATCGCCACCAAAGCGTGCGGTATAGGGAAGCACGTGCTCTGTGACTGTCCACCGGCGCTATCATTGGATCAGATGGTGTCCATGAAGAGGGCGGCACTCAACTACCCATCGCTGATCACAATACTGTTCAATACGCTGAGGTTTTTACCATCGTTTGCCAAAATGAAGCGTTTGATAGCCGATGGCTTTGTCGGCGATATTAATGTCATTAACTGTAATGTCTTCGGCGACTGTCTTCAGGGTATTTGTCTATTGTCTTGAGTCTTGATTAGTGGTGTGTTTTGTGTTGTGATACTAATTGATTGGATCTATTGGTGTGAAGGTCTGGACAACTACTCGATAGTGTGCGACGACCTGATGGGCGGCGGACTCCTGGCGACCACCGGAACGCATATCATTGATATCATATCATTCATCACCGGTTTGAGGGCTAAGCGAGTGAATGGCTGCGTCCGGAACTATCACCAGATCAAAGACAATGGTATGTCAATGAGTCACTCATTATCAACGACTACAGTATCTAATGAATTGGTTTGTATGATGTCTTCTAATGAATATGTCTTATGTTTGGTTTTCGGATCAGTGTTTGGCTTAAGAAGAATAACTTCCGACGACTTCGTGACCTTTCAGATGGAGATGAAGAACAGCTTATGCATAGCTAACGTGACGCTAAACTCGCACTACTTCGGCACATCCATACACGAGATACTGGTCTGCGGCTCGAAAGGCTATCTGGTGTGCCGTTCCGGTGACCTCTACGGCCGACTCCTCACCTCTGCGAAAGAGGAGCTCCTGTGCGGTGATAGTGAGGACATGAGCGACAATAACCTCAGCGTAAGTGCCAAAAATGTTTTGCCAAAACCGTACGGAAGCGGTCTGTCGCGAATGCTGTCGGCGCTCAAGAATGCCTTTCAGTGCTCGCCGGACGCGGACTCGGAGGTCGTGGCCAACGGCGGAGATAATGGTCTCCCGAGGAATGACGAGAAGATCTTTCATTGGGCTAAAGAAGCGGTCGGGTTGGCCGCCAATTTCGAGGACGGGCTGTACATACAGGCCGTGATTGAGGCGATTAAGTACTCGTCGAAGAATAGGGAATGGGTTCGCATTAAATACGATACTAACTGATCCCGGGTATGGATTATCTGATCCATAGGTTGTGTCTGTGTATTGGTTAGCATTTTTTGTTGACTTTATATATGATATGATATTTTTTTGCATCACTTGTGTTAGCAATGGATCTGTTTTTTATTGAAAAGTCTTTTATGACTATTGTATGCATTTCTCTGATAATGTCTAGTCATCTAATGGTTTGTTTGTGTTGTGTGTATATTAAGCCACTAATTGTTGGCATTTATTTAATATGTATGTAATTATCATAAGTATTTCCACGACTCATGTAGCCTGACATGCGATGCCGTGTTTGTGTGTGGAAAGCCTTTTCTATTCATGTGATGTGTAAGCCTAAGGTATACCCCCCTCACGAGCTTTGACTAACATTTTGTTTGCCATAAAATTATTGTTAATTTATTTATTATACGACTTTCTAATGACTAATAGTAATTGAGATTCAGTTTTAATGCATTGATGTTTGCGTTAATTATAATTATTTTTCTAGTTTTGAGTTTCAATATGCGATATAAATCATGAAATGAACGCTAAGTTTAGAGTTTTTCGGATCAAATGTTTTTGTTTCCTATGATATAAATACTTTTCACTCATATTTCACAACCATTTTTGGCTTTTTTATTATATAAATAACTCAATTGTATATAGATTTTGGAGTTTATGTGTAGTTTGTTAAACAAATTGTGCGAAAAAATTGTTTTGTTTCTAAGATATTATTTTTGAGAAACTCTTTTCGAGAGATATTTTTACGCCTATTATAAGGCTTATGTATAGAAAAAACAGGATTTCCTCAACACATAGTTTTTGAGATAATAATTGTATTTTCAATCGTAAAAAAGGGTCAGAAATTGACGTAAAATTTCGCACAAAATTACTTTTAATTCACTGAAAATGTTTTGAAATAATTTATTTTCTAATCAATTGTCACGTATTCGCGATTGACTTTTCAATTAACCGTTTAATTAATAGACTACTTATCAGTGTTTGAGGGAAATACTAATGAATTTTGGCATAATTTTAATGAGTGTTTGAAATGTTTGACAACTTTTTTTGCATTTCACATATCATTTGCTATATTAGAGTCAAAACGCGAACAAATATATCGGTTTTTGTGGCGTTTTTTGTGCCCATAATTACTGCCAATTAATTGACGAATGATTTGATGAGAAAAAACTCATTTATTTATGGCTTAAGTGTTCAGACTTTGAGATGTGTTTAGTCTTATGACAGGGGAATGGGATGTATGGGCAGAGAAGTCACTGACAACTCATTTGCTTTTCGAGCACTTCCTACCAGAAGTGACTACCATTTGATGTCTCGATTTGTTTAATGATTTTTATTTATGAGTTAATATTTAATGATTATATATATATAATAATTTTACTATGATTTCTAAATGTGCCATATTTTGTGTGTTCATAAAAAATCATTTTTTTGTTTGAATAATGAAATTATTATTAATAATAAAAAAACACATGAATAGCGAAACAAAATACTCGTATTTTAATTGACAAATAAATTGCTGTTTGATTTGATCGTAATGTTTAACAAAACACTTAAAGGTATGGAAAAAACAAACAAAAGTTTTTAAACACAAACACTTGAGGCGAATATGCGATGAAGAACTGGTTTTTTCTCTGATGGCAAACACATTATCAACTGATTATGACATCAATGGGTAGTCGTATCGATGCTCAAGAGGTTCAGAGGGAAGTGACAGCAGTCGTCATCCGGAGTTCGCTGCAGACACTCTCCAACTGTTCAATCTTGAGGTCCTTCTCGCGGATCAGCTGCCGATACCTCTCCGCCTCCTTACCCCTCAGCTCCTCCATGTGCTCGATATCCGCCTGCAATTGTTGGATACGCTGCGACTTCTGGCGACACATGTCCTCCACCTCGAAGAGCCGCTCCAACTGTGACTCCAGGTCCTCGATCCTGTCCTCCGAGTCGGTCAGCAGTCGCGACATATTCTTCGCTTTGTGTTGACATGAGTTGAGCTCGTCGTCCGCCTTCTCCACCTGCCTCTTGAGCGCCGACACCTCGTCCGTGAGGGACACCACCACCCGATCCAACTGATCGCTCTTCTCCTCCCAGAGCCGCGAGACTGTCTTAACCCTGTCGTCGTTCCGGAGCACCAACTCTTGAGAGGTTTTGGTCACCGATAGGTAGGTCTCCATCTTGGACTGGCTGTCCGTCAAGTCGTGCCGTAATCTACTGATGAGATCATCCTTTTCGTGGAGCTGTCGCCGGATGGCTATCACTTCAGCGTTGGTGTCGTTATCGGCGACTTCCGGTTGATTTTGTGGAGGTTTTGCAGCACTTATGGACAGTTGGCTGAGTTTGCGGTACTGTTCCCGTTGTAATAGATAGCAGAATATGACGATCGCCGCGATTAAGCCGATTGTGACCAACATTTTCGGTGATTAGTTAGGGTTTACCACAAAAAAAGTTGGTTTTCATAACAATTGTGTTGTTAATTGAAGTCATGTTTATCTAGCATTTAATGTCAAACACTTCTTATGCATTGTTTTATCATTAGTTTTATGAGTATAGCGTTTATTATATTCTTATCGCGATTTATATATAAGTTTTTATAAGTGTTTTGTGTGTTTAATATGTGGGTTACGGGGAGTAGTTATGTATGAGATATATAGCGATAGTCTTATAGACACACAAAGTTATAGTAAGAAATACTTTTTGTTGTATTTTATAGATAAAAACTTATTAGTAATATGCTTAACACTTTTTTCACCAGAGCAACTTTTACTAGTCATATAAATTGCTAGAAAACTATTTTTCTACAGTAATCCCAGTGTTTAGACATAATGTTTATATATTTAACTCTCATTTGTCTAATCATGTTATGATTGTGACACACATTTCGTGAATAAATTTATTTTACTTTCTAGTGATTGATGGCTAATAGACATACAAAACATTTGCTACTCATTGCCGACTAAACACTATTTGAAAAACACAATTAACATAACTTTACAAATAATTTATTATACAATGTGTGTGTGTTTGAAACACACTTGTTTATATGAGTTTGCTATAATTATTTTTATTTATCATTATCATTAGTGTGAATTTATGCTAGTTACTATTTATATACTGTATATAATATGTAACTTTGTTTTCAAAATTGCTAGAAATTTATCACCATGCTTAATTCATGGTAATTCTGTATGGTTTAAGCAATAGTGTATATTTGTAACCATAGGTAGCAATGCAATTATTTATACCAAGTAAAATAAATTAATAAAATTTTAACCTGTATTAAATAATAACTAATATTAATCATTTGGGAATAAATATATTTTTAAGTTTATTATATTTATATACAATTGATTTGAGTTCATTGAGTTGACCATGATCATATTCATAAAATTACATTTAATCACAAAAACAGCCGATCATTGGTCGGGCTACGAGTGGACTGACCCTTAAAGCACCGGTCGATCGGGAGAAAGATTGGCACTATTTCCTGGTTATGGGGCCACTGGTTGTGTACGTGAGGTCCAGTTCCCCTGCGTTTCAGACATACGCCGGCGGTATACTAGATAGCCGTGAGTGCAATACTGGCGGCCCTTTCGATCACAGCCTGATTCTGGTCGGGAGAGGGTGTCGATGACAATGGGACCGACTATTGGTTGGCTAGAAATAGGTGTGTTTTCCGAATGTAACCTTGGTTATTTTATTGTCTATTTAATTTAAAGTTACGGTGAGGTTTGGATGGTTTGGATGGCCGACCTCTTCGGGCCAGTGGATGAAAGCACTCAAAGAGGAGTTCCCGAAGAGGTCTGCCATTACGAGAGTGCCATTACAACTAGTGGGAGGTAGGGGTTTTTGACAAATTTTTTGCGTACGTACTTAGTGCACACCGCCTTATTTATTATGGTTATTTCAAAATTATATTTGTTTCTTTTTTAGTAATTTTACATGATCAATATAAAAATTAATTAAAACTAACATTGTCTTATAAGTAAAACTTAAAAGTATTGTACTTCAAACATGCAAACTAATTCTCTAAAATTACATAGATAATTAAAAAACAATATGAAAAACAATTTAAAATAAAAATTATAGCTGATAGCTGAGTGAAAGTTTTGTTATATTACTATTTTCCGTCTGGACTTTTTAAACACTAAAAACTATATTACTTTTTACAATTAAAATGCAAAAATTTTATTAATATATCTGGTTCAATATATCGGATGATATCTGACTAATATAGGCTTATCTTTCGCTTCTTACAAGCATTTTTTGCTTACGACTAAATATCAAAATCTTTAGTGTATAAAGTCTATGAGTTTAAGTTAAAAAGATATTAGTATTTAGTTGTAAACAAAAAATGCTTGCAAGAAGCGAAAGATAAGCCTATATTAGTCAGGTATCATCCGATATATTGAACCAGATATTAATGAACACAAATATGAGTATAGTAACTATCACCGTGCTCATACTAGTTCTATCGGGTGAGAGTGCAATCTATAAAATAAATGTACCCTCTCAACAAATACGCTCATTTAAGCTTGTTAATTTAATAAATAATCTTTTTCGAGTTATTAAATCATAAAATTTGCAAAACTATCAATTATAGCAAATATTTTAGCACTGCGTACCACGTACTCTATTATAAAATATAGCAAGGTAAAATATAGTAATACTGTTGCAAATTTCCAGAAATGATAGATAGTGATAAAACATTGCAGCCTGCTAACATTGCAGATTGCAGTGGCGATAAAATGTTAACGGCAGAGAAAGCACCAAGTTCAAAAGGAAAGGGAAAGAAAAAGGATAAGAAAAAGGGAAATAAAAAAGGGGAAAACCGGTAAAGGGAAAAAATGGGAAAGGTCAGGCAAAGGGGAAGTGGAAAAAGATCCTTGANTTTTTTGCTTACGACTAAATATCAAAATCTTTAGTGTATAAAGTCTATGAGTTTAAGTTAAAAAGATATTAGTATTTAGTTGTAAACAAAAAATGCTTGCAAGAAGCGAAAGATAAGCCTATATTAGTCAGGTATCATCCGATATATTGAACCAGATATTAATGAACACAAATATGAGTATAGTAACTATCACCGTGCTCATACTAGTTCTATCGGGTGAGAGTGCAATCTATAAAATAAATGTACCCTCTCAACAAATACGCTCATTTAAGCTTGTTAATTTAATAAATAATCTTTTTCGAGTTATTAAATCATAAAATTTGCAAAACTATCAATTATAGCAAATATTTTAGCACTGCGTACCACGTACTCTATTATAAAATATAGCAAGGTAAAATATAGTAATACTGTTGCAAATTTCCAGAAATGATAGATAGTGATAAAACATTGCAGCCTGCTAACATTGCAGATTGCAGTGGCGATAAAATGTTAACGGCAGAGAAAGCACCAAGTTCAAAAGGAAAGGGAAAGAAAAAGGATAAGAAAAAGGGAAATAAAAAAGGGGAAAACCGGTAAAGGGAAAAAATGGGAAAGGTCAGGCAAAGGGGAAGTGGAAAAAGATCCTTGATGATAAAGATTTCATTACAATGAACGCGCGGAAAGAAGAAATCAAAATCAGCAGTGATTAGACAAAAGTACAATACAAGCGCAGTCGGCAATGGGGCGGGAGGTGAGGGTATCATCACATTAAATGTCGAAATGTGGTAGATTATTTAAAATGAAAATATTTATCTAAATAAAATGCTTAAACCATACAAATATAAATGTGGCCAATACTCGGGTCCTCACTGTTTAGCCGCCACTTCACGAGACATTTACAACAGTTTTATCTATTAATTAAAAATTCGGTATTGGATGGGATTCGATAGTATTGGCGTCTGTATATTCAATACACCGATTAAAATTTAATCAAATTTAAAATTCAGTCAAAGAATAGCCATTTAATCATTGAATGGCTATTATTTGACTGAATTTTTAATGACACTTTTGTAAATACACCAATTTGTAAAATGTCATCATGAACATATGGAACGCGGATTTTCATAATGGGAGAAGTGCTATACATTTACTATAGCACTTCTCCCATTATGAAAAACTCCGAAAGTGTTCAAGTACTACAGTAACAAATTTAACCACATAAATATAAAATTGTTGGGGCTGTTAGATTCGTTGGGAAAATAAATTTCGTCATTTTATACTAATCTAACTTCTCAACGATTTTTAATTATTCTAGTTCCACTAGAACCCGCAGTACCACCATTTACCACCATATTAGGTACCAATGGCGGAATAGTACTACCGCTTTGGGTTGAGGCACTCCTGCCTGTTCACGGCTTATGCCAAGTCCCAGCTGTTTACTGGGACCAAGTTTACTGTTCACAGACACTGAGATACAACGGCTGCTGAATGCCTACAAACAAACGGATCTTAAATAAAGAAATGAAAGTAGAAGTCAGTCAGCGAATGATTGCCAGGGAATCGGAAAATATATTGGAAAACAGTGGAAAAGTTGGGAATTGCATGACAGGTGTAGGCAAGGGCTCAAACTCTGACACTTCATGCTTAATAAATACAACCTTGACCTGGGAGTCGGGGCACACACACACACACCAGCCCACGGACGCCTTGTGCCCTAAATTCTTGCTCCGGAATACTTGAGTGCCTTTTGGACGAGGGAAAGGGACATCCCTTTGAAAATATCCTTTCAGAATTCTAATCAATCACATGATAGGGGCAAGACTGGTAGCTATACTGTATATATCAGTGCCTAACCCCCACACAGGACACACACACAGTATCCCTACAGACCTTTCATGTGACTTGACATCAGCGCTGATTGCGAGTCAGTTCGAGTGCTAACTGTATAACTGTTCCCAAAAGTGAGCCCTTCTTTGAGACAACTTTTTATTGGACATATAATAGTGCTAATGTAGCGGTGGCACTACCCTGATGGCGGTAATGGTGGTGGTGGTAGTGCTACTGTAGGCCCTGATGAAGGTGGTGATGAATTGGGAGCTGTCGGCGATGCTAAAGTTGATGTTAAGGTTCTGGTGGAAAGGGTACTCAAGCGGGTTCTAAGGGTGGACGTGAATGGATAGTCGTATGCATCGTAACAAACAAGTGGCGGGTTAAGGCAAACAGAAATGCCAATAAAGGTGGACAATTTAGGGCCATTTATGGTCATAAGGGGTGTCTTAATCGTACCCCCAAACTTTTGATTAAACAAGCACAAGCGTATCTGTTGTAACCTTTTTATCATTTTAAATAGTTCAAACTCCCCGTAAATTAAACATACCTTATAGTCATTTAATATCAAATCATACAATTAATTAGTGTCTGTGTAGAGTTGGGATGTTATATGGATTATATATATAATAATACCAACAAATATACAATAAATGAAAACATAGCATTTAATAACATGTATAAACAATTATATTTAGGTAGGCTAACAAAATAATCAACATTCATAATTACTAATGTATGCATTGATAATAAACAATGTTGTTATATTTATTTGACAAAATTTGCGCATTTTACATTGAGTGTGGCCGTTTGGGATAAATTAATTGCTAATAAATTAAAAACATTTATAAAGTAATTCAAAACTTTTTTAAAATTAATAAAAAATAATTTTTCCCCCCTTGGAGCGCGATCTCATGCCCCCTATACACCTCCTTTCAGGTGGTCTCTGGAACCCCCCTATTGATTAACCTTAACTTAGCTATTGTTAGGCAGACACTGTAACCGCTACACCACTCTACTCCCCACCACCATCCTTGGCTAAAATAAGCTTTTAAATTATAAAAATAATTAAATGTTTTAATAAATATTTAGTTTTTCTAAAAAAATACTTTCATTTATATTATTGTATTTAATTATAGTTCAAATACCTATTTACAGTTTGTTTTGTCACTATTTCATTAGAAATATATTTCAATATTTTATATTTAGACTATTTTTATACAGGGTTGTTACTAAACATCGGACCCATTTGGGAGGCTTGGCGTTTGGACACCCTGTACTATTTTTTGATGATTCCTTTTCGAAGGTGTAGAGGAAGAGTTAGATTTTTATGTGGTATATAATTTGTCAAGGTTATATTTGTAGAAAAAGTTATATACTCGATTTTTTCAAAAACCGTGGAAAATATTAAGTTGTTTTGAGAGGTTTTTGCATAGAAAACGATTATTACATAGAGAAATAATTGAGGTTAATATTTTTAATATGTTTATGTTTTTTGAAATAAAAATGTATACTTTACCTTGCAAACGATATGTTAACATTAAAAAACAATATTCAATAATCCTTAATATTAATAGTATTACATAGAAAAATTTATAACACAAAACTACCAGTATAATATTAATTTAATATTAATTTACATTATTCATATTAAAAAGCAACCTGTCTCAATCAAATCGCTTCACTTCATAATTCTATTAAAAGCGTCAGAAAGAAAATCATTAATAAATTAATAATACTAAGCTCGTGTTAATTATTTAAAAATATTTATAATACGAAATAAATAATAATTTTTTGTAAAATTAATTAACATACCTTTCCTTCACGATACACCAGAAACATATTAAGTAACTAATTTCTATGGAAATCTATTTTTTAATCTAAATTTCCAGCTTGAACTGTATGTATTAGTTATTTATTTACTAGGCCTAATAAAC